AAAGCAACATACTTAATTGCCTCTTTTATATTACCATTAACCTAATTCTGTGAACTCTGTCTTCCCTTAGAATTGAAAAAGACTACGTGTACAAAAATCCAGTTAGTAGAAATAAGTTCTAGTATTTGATAGTACAACAGGGAAATTATAGTTAACATTTATTTCTTCTACCAAAGTAGTTAGAAAAATTGCAGTGCTCCTAACACAAATAAAAGATCAATGTTTGAGGCCGGGTGCAGTGGCTTTACACCTGTATTCCCAGCACTTTGGGAGGCTGAGGCGGGTGGATCACCTGACGTCAGAAGTTCGAGACCAGCCTGGCCAACATGGCAAAACCCCATCGGTACTAAAAATACAAAAGTTAGCCGGGTGTGGTGGCACACGCCTGTAATCCCAGCTACTCAGGAGGCCGAGGCAGGAGAAACGCTTGAACTTGGGAGGCGGAGGTTGCAGGGAGTTGACATGCCACTGCACCTCAGCCTAGGCACCAGAGCGAGACTCTGTCTCAAAAAAAAAAAAAAAAAAAAAAAAAAATCAGTGTTTGAGGTGATGGATATCCCAGTTACTCTGATTTTATCATTATATATTGTATGCATGTATCAGTATCACATGTACCCCCAAAATATGTACAACTATTATGTCAATTAAAATTTTTTTAAAAGAAACAGATGACATTTATGAATCCCCTCTACAAAATACCCAAGTTATCCTCTTTAGTTTCTTATTATACCTTTATGTGAAAAGAGGGCATTCACTGAGCAGGTGACCTGTTCCAGTACTGGATCACTCATAAGTTTTCTCATACTGAACAGAAATCTTCCCTCTTGCTAAATTTAATTGGTCTTGTCTCTTGGAGCCATTCATGTCCTGTTCTTTCCATTATCCTGACAGTTTCTAGTATACTCGCCATAACTTTGATTCCTGGTTGTGGAATCACATCCTTTCTGGTAGGCATATCATCCCATTGAGGCTGAGAATATGTTCCTTTTTTTTTTCCTTTGGAGTTTCACTCTTGTTGCCCAGACTGGAGTGCAGTGGTGTGATCTTGGCTCACTACAGCCTCCACCTCCTGGGTTCAAGTGATTGTCCTGCCTCAGCCTCCTGAGTACTTGGGATTACAGGCATGTACCACCACGCCTGGCTAATTTTTTGTATTTTTGGTAGAGACGGGGTTTTACTGTGTTGGCCAGGCTAGTCTTGAACTCCTGACCTCAGGTGATCCACCCGTCTCGGCCTGCCGAAGTGCTGGGATTATAGGCGTGAGCCACCGCGCCTGGCAGAAAATGTTCTTTTATAGTTAGCTTTTTTTGAGCTACAGTATTAGCCCCTTTAAATTTAATCTTTAATCCAGTCTTGGTTTTTAAATCTTAATTAGCTTATATCATTGGACGATTTATTAGAAGTACGCCATTTATGCGTTTCTCAACTCCTTTTTTTTGAGATGGAGTCTCACTCTGTCGCCCAGACTGGAGTGCAGTGGCACGATCTCGGCTCACTGCAAGCTCCTCTTCCCGGGTTCACGCTATTCTCCTGCCTCAGCCTGCCAGGAAGCTGGGACTACAGGTGCCCGCCACCATGCCCGGCTAATTTTTTATATTTTTAGTAGAGACGGGGTTTCACCGTGTTAGCCAGGATGGCCTGGATCTCCTGACCTCGTGATCCACCCACCTTGGTCTCCCAAAGTGTTGGGATTATAGGTGTGAGCCACCATGCCCAGCCACCTTTCTCAGCTCTTATGGTCAGCATCTCACCAGAAACACTTGCCACTTGTTTGGTTCTTTTGGTCTATCATTGGGCCAATAAGCAGCCTGACTGCTGTTTACCCAACTCTCCTGTTACCTGTGGGTTCTAACAAATAGCTTTAAAGTTGTTTTATGGTTAATTCGGTGTTCAACTTTGGGGAAAGGAGTGCTTAACTGCCATTTTAATTTCCAGGGAACTACTTAAAGTAGTTCAGCATATTACCCCAGTGTAAAATAAAACATGTAGGGATTCCAAAGTTACTACCTACAAAAGACAGATTACTCATTTTAGTAGCGTTTATCAACACCTTTCCTTAAAAACTTAAGTTTTTAGTATAGCTTTAAAATTTAACATCTTCAGTGATTGGTTCACTCTTAAGTAACTGCACGTGTTTATGACCTTCATCTCTACATACATAGAAGGGGTTAAAGTTACTGAAAAGTGAAGGACGTGATTAGGCAGTATTGCTTTTTTTGAGACAATCTCACTGTCACCCTGTCCTAGAGTACAGTGGTACAATTCAGTTATAAATCACTGCAGCCTCAAACTCCTGGACTCAGACAATCCTCCCGTCTCAGCTCCCCAGTAGCTGGGACTATAGGAGTGTGCCACCACACCTGGTTAACTTTTAAATTTTTGTGTAGAGGCAGGATCTTATGTTCACTGGGGTGGTCTCAAACTCCTGGTCTCAAGAAGTGATCCTCCCACCTCAGCCTCCCAAAGTGTTAGGATTACAGGAGTGAGCCACCGTGCCCTGCAATAATTGTTTTAAAGTGTATTGTACTGGAAGGAATGATAGCCTTGCTTCTACAGCTAGATTATGAAGTACCAGAATATTGTGCTTCCAGCTTCTAGCATAGTGTCTGGTGTTACTGTGATAATAGATAATGAGTGCTTACTCCTGAATGCTTACCTGTATTTTTTCTCAACAATCTTAGAGGTCTCTGCCTTACAGTTGAGATAACTGAATCATTGAGATTAAGTAGTTCACAGTGTTGAGTGCTGTAATTCAAATCCAGACTCACCCCAGAGCCACTATGTTTATACCATCTCCCATAGTTGAATGAATAATACAATTTGTATAACAATGAAACTTTTGAAAACCCTGGTCATTTGTTTCTTAAAATATTGTTTTTAAGTGGAAAGACTCACCTGACTATTTTAAATGCAAGTCTTTTCCAGTGTTTGAGGCAGATCTCCAGAGAGCAACCATAGGTGGTAAAAAGCATTGTATACAAAGGACAAAACACTTTTGCAGCTAAGAGAACTTTGAATATGAAAGTATGAATGTGGTGTAATACAGAGGTTGCTGTCCTAACCAAAATGTTCTTCTGATTTCAGGCCAATAGTTTTATTTTTATTTTTTATTTATTTTGAGATGGAATCTTGCTCTGTCATCCAGGCTGCAGTGCAGTGGTGCAACCTCAGCTCACTGCAACCTCTACCTCTCAGGCTCAAGCAGTTCTCCTGGCTCAGCCTCCCAAGTAGCTGGGATTACAGGTGCCCTGGCTAATTTTTGTATTTTTAGTAGAGACAGGGTTTCACCATACTGATGAGGCTCACCTCAAGTGATCCTGCCACCCTAGCCTCCCAAAGTGCTGAGATTACTGGCATAAGCCACTGCGCCCGGCTTCAGGCCAGTATTTTTAAGTATCAGTTAATAATTGTAGGAAACATCATTTCAGGTTGACTTTTCTCACCTTTAACCTTTCTTACAGCACAGTGCAATCTGGCCCTACTGCCACTTCATCTGGGTTATCTAGCTTGAGTTGTAAAAAAAAAAAAAAAAAAAAAATGGGGGAAGAAGTTGGGTTAAAACTGTTCACCTACCCACCATTGGAACATAATGGGTAAACACAAAGTTAGAGTTACTATTTAAAAGCATTTTTCAAATTTATATTTTGCATATAAATAGGTGCTATGTATACTCATACTTTGTTTTGTAAGTATGGATTTATTTGGAATTTAGCTCAACTAAAATTGACTTCACCTTGATTCCCAGAGTGTACTTGAACTTTAAAGGAAGCAGGGTAGTGAGAATGGGTGGTGGGGTTTTTTTGTTTGTTTTAATGTTTACCTAATTCTACTACTAGAATTATTTTTCTCCCCCTTAACTGAAAATTTAAAAATTACACATTTATTGAGTCTTCCCATCCCCAACACAATGATCTAATTCAATTACAGAGTGTAATGTTTAAAATCCTGATCAAATGACTCAGACTGTAGTAATAGTTTTAGACAGAATTTTATAGGATGATGATTTAATTTTATCTGTTGTCTGGGATGATCTGTAATCATGTATCTTACTAGCCGAAAATGACGTCAATGAGATTATTAAAGGTCTGCTCTTTTAAGATCTGTAAGTCTCCTACCACTGTCTTTTTAAATTTTTTTAAATTTTTATTTATTTATTTTTTGAGATGGAGTCTCACTCTGTCGCCTAGGCTGGAGTGCAGTGGTGTGATCTCGGCTCATTGCAAGCTCCGCCTCCCAGGTTCATGCCATTCTCCTGCCTCAGTCTCCCGAGTAGCTGGGACTACAGGCTCCTGCCACCGCGCCTGGCCAATTTTTTGTATTTTTTAGTAGAGACGGGGTTTCACCGCATTAGCCAGGATGGTCTCGATCTCCTGACCATGTGATCTGCCTGCCTTGGGCTCCCAAAGTGCTGGGATTACAGGCATGAGCCACCGTGCCTGGCCCATACCACTGTCTTAATTTAGGAAAAATGAAACTTTCGTTTTGAACAGTTTTTTTAATCTGTTGTGAGGTTTGCTTGAATTGTGTTCTTATAAATGAAGTTTATTTTGTTCCTCTCTCTCTGGCATGGACTCCTTAAGTGTCTTACAGAGTCCCAAAAGGTTCATCCCGTATGTTCTATTTTCATGTCATGAACACATGAAACTTCAGATGGAAAGCTTGCCAGCTCATTAGAAAATGTTCCTAAATATGAACGGTCATGCTTCACGAAATTCATTGAAATCAGTATGTAAATAGATGACATTGTCAGGGACTGATACTCAATTGTATTGTCCTCAAATAATAAACTGAACACTAACTTCAAACTTCAAGTATTGCTGCCCAAAGCATTCTGCTTTAAACCACAAATTCATGTGCCAGCTGCATTCACAATTGTATTGACAGTGACTGGGTGTTAAAGTTGTATAACTTACGGCTATAGTTTGTCCTTTAAAAAATGCAAGTTCTTTCAGTTTTGTAAATGTTTTATTCTCACTATGTCTGTTTCTTTTCTTCTTAAGTCTCTTTTGGAAAAGTTCTTGATCCCCAATGCTTCACAAGCAGAGAGCAAAGTCTTCTATTTGAAAATGAAAGGAGATTACTATCGTTACTTGGCTGAGGTTGCCGCTGGTGATGACAAGAAAGGTATGCTGTTTTTAAACCTGTTGGTTGAACTTGTATAAGATAACATAGTGAGGAAGAGTCTCTGAAGTGTAAATAATTCCTTGCTTTTAATTGCTTAGAGTGCTGAATAAGGAGTAGCAGTGCTTTTTTTGTGTTCTGAGAATATATATCTACTGCCTAATACTGGTATTCTAATATATATGCTTTCTGAAAAGCCAATTTTGTGCACAGGGATGTTTTTTCAAGATTTTAAGAAAAGTGACCAGCCTGAGCAACATCTCTCTCTACAAAAAATGTTTTGAAAATTAGCTGGGCATGGTGGTGCAAGTGCAAGCCTTTGGTCCCAGCTAATCTAGAGGCCGAAGTGGGAGGATCACTTGGGTCTGGGAGATCAAGGCTGCAGTGAGCCCTGATTGTGCCACTGCACTCCACCCTGGGTGACAGACCCAGACCCTGTCTCAAGAAAAAAGAAATAGTGGTTACAGTGTAACTGAGGAGCAGTGCAAACTAGTTAATTTTTAAAAAATATAACAGTAATGGAGATTATAAAGTTGTTTTATCTTGACATTGACCAATGACTAGTGTGTACCAGGAGAAAACTCCTTTTAAAAAAAAATTAAAGGGCCTTGTTCAATTAACCAGTATTAAGCTGTTACAGATTAGTATTTCAAAGGATACCTGAGATATTAAAGGTTTGGTTTGAGGGGTGAAGATACAATGCACACTTTATCTCAGTACGTTTTGGTGTGTCTTTATCCAGGGATTGTGGATCAGTCACAACAAGCATACCAAGAAGCTTTTGAAATCAGCAAAAAGGAAATGCAACCAACACATCCTATCAGACTGGGTCTGGCCCTTAACTTCTCTGTGTTCTATTATGAGATTCTGAACTCCCCAGAGAAAGCCTGCTCTCTTGCAAAGACAGTATGTATTTTACCTGTTACATAGAAATTTAGCAGTCTTTATTACTTGAGCACTGAAATCTAATGTACTATTTTTAAATCATAGGCTTTTGATGAAGCCATTGCTGAACTTGATACATTAAGTGAAGAGTCATACAAAGACAGCACGCTAATAATGCAATTACTGAGAGACAACTTGACAGTAAGTATATAACAGCATCATTAGTGATGAATGTGGTTGAAGAGGTTATGTTTTACTCTGAGGAATTTTTATTAAATCTTTTAAAAATTTTTTCTCAACACAATTCATAGGCTCTCATAAGTAGCTACTGTTAAAATCATATGAAGGAAAACTACAGAAACTGAAATATTAGACTAAGAACTAAAAAATATACACATTGATGTTACCTTTGTTACTAAAATTTGAATGTTAGTATCAAAAGTGTACTGAGGCTCTACATGTTTTAGTTCCTTTAAGAATGATTTTCTTGCCCATCCAGTTGCCTCTGTATTTGTAAAGATAATGGTAGGGAATTAATAACTTGAGTTATAAAATCTCAGGTGTCTGCAGAATCTAAGTGGAAGTCTATTTTGCCTAGCTGCTGCTTTTAAATGACTTAATATGAAAGGTCGTGATTGTCCTTGGGATACTGCAGATGTATAAAAAGAAACAGTGTCACTATCACACTGGAAACATCAACAGTAATTCCCTAATAATGTTTGAATATCTAAATAATACTTGAATTCCAATTGTCTCTCTTTTTTTAAGTTATTTGAATTGGGATTCAAATTCAGTCCACAGTGCAGTTGATTTGTATGTCTTGTTTCTTAGGTCTTCTCATTCAGATCAATATTAGATTTGAAATTTTGAGGCTTAGGTGAAAAAATTATCAAGCATTTGCTGTGTTGTGTCAGGTAAAGAGGTAGGAATTGCAGATGATAATCTAGTATTACTGTTTTTTTGTTAGACTTTTAGGGCCATTTCTCTTGGGGATTATATAACCTCATTTTATACATTTCTCTTCCAACTTTATTCTAGTCCACTGCCATTTTCTATGAACTAGTTATATATTCTAGTGCTGAAAATCTTGAGTTTTTTGAATAGCATTGTATACTTGTTTATTAAACCTAAAATTACTTTATTAGCGCAATTTGGAGCTACCTATAAACTTTTCTGATACTTGAGTCAAGATAATAAGCTATAGTAAAGAATGAAAGAATCTTTATATCAAATGTTAAGAAGCACTTTGTTAACTAACTTTGGTATTAAGGATTTTTCTTTTCTAGTTTGAAGTGATGACATTTTTCAAGTGATGACCTGAGACCTAGATACTGTGTTTTGTTCTCATCACTTTTTGAAAGGCCCTGATCTACTGTCTGCTTCCAACTGAATTTTGCTATCAGTATAGCATGAAGAGCATATATTGCAATAAGAAAACCAGGGTTGGCCGGGTGTGGTGGCTCACGCCTGTAATCCCAGCACTTTGGGAGGCCGAGACAGGTGGATCACGAGGTCCGGGGTTCAAGAACAGCCTGGCCAAGATGATGAAACCCCATCTCTACTAAAAATACAAAAATTAGCTAGGCATGGTGGCGGGTGCCTATAATCCTAGCTACTCGGGAGGCTGAGGAAGAGGATTGCTTGAACCCGGGAGGCGGAGGTGCAGTGAGCTGAGATCATGCCACTACACTCCAGCCTGGGCAAAAGAGCGAGACTCCCTCAAAAAGAAAACCAGGGTTTTGATTCTAATTCTGTCATTACTTATATGTCTTCTCTGAGCCTTATTAGTGTTAGCTGTCACCATTATAGGTTGATAAGACCATTTATCTGTCAAGAAAAGAAAGTATCCCAAAACTTAGCATTTCAGTCTGAATTTGGTTGACCAAGACTGTCAACACATTACTCTAGAAAAAGAGAAATATTTTGTATCAAATTTTCATGTTTATACAGAAAATTCAAAAATCCTTGAAAGTTGGAACAGGAAGAGACACATTAGAAACAATTTCATCTTGCATTTACAAAACCCCTTGATTTCCAAGAGGTCATTTGGCTATCTGTGTGACCTTGGAAGTAGTAGTCTCTTTTCCAGGCCAGAGATATATTTGCTTAGTAGATAAATGAAGCTAATGGATGATTTGGGGAATATAAAAATAATAATTAGGTGGATTTTTCCCCTTCCCCTCAGTATTCATGTGTAAGTCATATAAAATTTAAGATTGTCTTGAATCCTTTTGTAATTACCTCTGAAAATCCCTAGAGAGTGGTTAAGACTTAAACGTTTTTAACATTGGAGCAGTTGGCATAAATAGAGTTCATAACCCTACCACCTATGGGACAACTTTCATTTTTACCTCTTAAAAGATTTGGTTCTGGTTTTTGTCCAGCATGTTTTGAATCATACGATAGGTTAGTGCAAAAGTAATTGAGGGTTTTGCCATTTAACGTAATGGCAATTACTTTTGCACCAACCTAATAAATATATACAAAGGTTTGTTTTTCTAAGCTTGAAGTGTTAGAAAAGCTAGATTTGTAGTTTAGCTCAGAGTTGAGGCTGGTCCTTGAATTTCATGGACTATAGGATTCTGTTTGGAGTGTGAGTCATTCTAAGATCTACCAGGGGAGAGTAGTCAACCCTAGCTCCTTCAGCATGGGCCAAATTAGATGCTTCTGGTATAGTTGGACTTAACCTTGGATGTCCATCTTTCATATTGGGGCTCTTTAGGTTCTGACACCTATTGATGCTTAGTTTTTAAAAAATAATTTAGGGGCCGGGCGCGGTGGCTCACGCCTGTAATCCCACCACTTTGGGAGGCTGAGGTGGGTGGATCACGAGGTCAGATCAAGGCCATCCTGGCCAACATGGTGAAACCCTCTCTCCCCTAAAAATACAAAAATTAGCTGGGCATGGTGGCACACGCCTGTAGTCCCAGCTACTCAGGAGGCTGAGGCAGGAGAATCACTTGAACCTGGGAGGTGGAGGGTTCATTTCCAGCCTGGTGACAGAGCAAGACTCCATCTCAAAAAAAAAAAAAAAAAAAAAAAAAAAAAAAAAAAAAAATTTCTTCTACTTTCTCTTCACCTTCTATGGATACCCAAAACTCTTCCTGTATCTGAAGATTATTTGAAGGCAACTCGGTGGTATACTTACCCTGGTTATACAGTGGTTACAGAGAAAGTAAATTTGTGTATTGAGATGTTTTTGTATCTTGAAGCTAAGTGATGCTGCTATTTTTTTAAGAATGCTTTCCAACTAAAACGTTTGGGTATCTTGGCAACATATATACATATATGAAAACTTTGGTCCCCCCCCCCAATCCCACTGAAACTTGCTGAAAAATCTTTCCTTCTTTTACCAGTTGTGGACATCGGATACCCAAGGAGACGAAGCTGAAGCAGGAGAAGGAGGGGAAAATTAACCGGCCTTCCAACTTTTGTCTGCCTCATTCTAAAATTTACACAGTAGACCATTTGTCATCCATGCTGTCCCACAAATAGTTTTTTGTTTACGATTTATGACAGGTTTATGTTACTTCTATTTGAATTTCTATATTTCCCATGTGGTTTTTATGTTTAATATTAGGGGAGTAGAGCCAGTTAACATTTAGGGAGTTATCTGTTTTCATCTTGAGGTGGCCAATATGGGGATGTGGAATTTTTATACAAGTTATAAATGTTTGGCATAGTACTTTTGGTACATTGTGGCTTCACAAGGGCCAGTGTAAAACCGCTTCCATGTCTAAGTGAAGAAAACTGCCTACATATTGGTTTGTCCTGGTGGGGAATAAAAGGGATCATTGGTTCCAGTCACAGGTGTAGTAATTGTGGGTACTTTAAGGTCTGGAGCACTTAGAAGGCTGTAGTAGAAACATACCCCATGGACACCACAGGTTAAACCATGTGTATCTGTGGAACACTCAATCTTAATGTGCACACCTTTGACTACAGCTGCAGAAGTGTTCCTTTAGACAAAGTTGTGACCCATTTTACTCTGGATAAGGGCAGAAACGGTTCACATTCCATTATTTGTAAAGTTACCTGCTGTTAGCTTTCATTATTTTTGCTACACTCATTTTATTTGTATTTAAATGTTTTAGGCAACCTAAGAACAAATGTAAAAGTAAAGATGCAGTAAAAATGAATTGCTTGGTATTCATTACTTCATGTGTATCAAGCACAGCAGTAAAACAAAAACCCATGTATTTAACTTTTTTTTAGGTTTTTTGCTTTCGTGATTTTTTTTTTTTTTTTGATACTTGCCTAACATGCATGTGCTGTAAAAATAGTTAACAGGGAAATAACTTGAGATGATGGCTAGCTTTGTTTAATGTCTTATGAAATTTTCATGAACAATCCAAGCATAATTGTTAAGAACACGTGTATTAAATTCATGTAAGTGGAATAAAAGTTTTATGAATGGACTTTTCAACTACTTTCTCTACAGCTTTTCATGTAAATTAGTCTTTTGGTTCTGAAACTTCTCTAAAGGAAATTGTACATTTTTTGAAATTTATTCCTTATTCCCTCTTGGCAGCTAATGGGCTTTTACCAAGTTTAAACACGAAATTTATCATAACAAAAATACTAATATAACTGCTGTTTCCATGTCCCATGATCCCCTCTCTTCCTCTCCACCCTGAAAAAAATGAGTTCCTATTTTTTCTGAGAGAAGGGGAGATTGATTGGAATTCCATTTAAAATTTTGGTATATGGCATTTTCTAACTTAGGAAGCCACAATGTTCTTGGCCCATCATGACACTGGGTAGCATTAACTATAAGTTTTGTGCTTCCAAATCACTTTTTGGTTTTTAAGAATTTCTTGATACTCTTACAGCCTGCCTTCGATTTTGATCCTTTATTCTATTTGTCAGGTGCACAAGATTACCTTCCTTTTTTAGCCTTCTGTCTTGTCACCAACCATTCCTACTTGGTGGCCATGTACTTGGGAAAAGGCCGCATGATCTTTCTGGCTCCACTCAGTGTCTAAGGCACCCTGCTTCCTTTGCTTGCACCCCACAGACTATTTCCCTCATCCTATTTACTGCAGCAAATCTCTCCTTAGTTGATGAGATTGTGTTTATCTCCCTTTAAAACCCTACCTATCCTGAATGGTCTGTCATTGTCTGCCTTTAAAATCCTTCCTCTTTTCTTCCTCTCTTCTCTAAATAATGATGGGGCTAAGTTATACCCAAAGCTCACTTTAACAAAATATTTCCTCAGTACTTTGCAGAAAACACCAAACAAAAATGCCATTTTAAAAGAGGTGTATTTTTTCTTTTAGAATGTAAGCTCCTCAAGAGCAGGGACAATGTTTTCTGTATGTTCTATTGTGCCTAGTACACTGTAAATGCTCAATAAATATTGATGATGGGAGGCAGTGAGTCTTGATGATAAGGGTGAGAAACTGAAATCCTAAACACTGTTTTGTTGCTTGTTTTATTATGACCTCAGATTAAATTGGGAAATATTGGCCCTTTTGAATAATTGTCCCAAAAATTACATTCAAATAAAAGTGCAATGGAGACCTTGGGGTCTTTATTTCCGGGAGAAAAGATACCTTCTGCATCTAGGGCAACAATCCTTTTCCCTCACAGCTCTTTATTTTACCTCACTCACTGATTTCTCCTGACCCCCAAGCCAAGGAGGTAAAATAATCATACATATATTTTAAGTCATATTTTATAGCTAAGGGATGTCAAGCTAGACTGAAGAGTTTTTTTTTTTTTTTTTTTTTTTTTTTGAGACAGTCTAGCTCTGTCACCCAGGCTTGAGTGAAGTGGTGCAATCTCGGCTCAGTGCAACCTCCGCCTCCTGGGTTCAAGTGATTCTCCTGCCTCAGCCTCCTGAGTAGCTGGGCATACAGGTGCCCACCACCGTACCCGGCTAATTTTTGTGTTTTTAGTAGAGATGGGGTTTCACCATGTTGTCCCAGCTGGTCTTGATTTCCCAACTTCAGGCAATCCGCCTTCCTCAACTTCCCAAAGTGCTGGGATTACAGGAATAAGATACCGTGCCCAGCAGAGATGCGCTATTATTCAAGTAAATAAAACCTGAAACTTGGCACATTTGCCTATTTAATGTGCATCAGTCATCTGAACTAGGTTGATTTTGGAATAATGAAAACACTTCATTAGTATTAACTAATGTTTTCTACATAGTAGCTCCCAATAGATTAAGGAAAATTTCCAACCCAAGATTTTTTGTCTTGGAATTTGAATAATGTGTTTGTAACTATCGCCTTGATTGTCCCAAATCCAGGCTTTATGTCTGCTTTTGTCAATTTAACATCCTAGTGCCAGGAAACTGGAAAATCCAAGGATTTTTTTGTGTAAAGTATTGAAATTTGTTTAAAACAAGAGTCTCAACTCTTGCTTAGACTGGGGTGCAGTGGCGCAATCTTGGCTCACTGCAACCTTCGCCTTCCAGGCTCAAGTGATTCTCCTGCCTCAGCCTCACAGGTAGCTGGGACTACAGGCGTGTGCCACCACGCCTGGCTAATTATTTGTATTTCTAGTAGAGAGGGTTTCACCGTGTTGACCATGATGGTCTTGATCTCCCGACCGTATGATCCACCCACCTCGGCCTCCCAAAGTGGTGGGATTACAGGCATGAGCCACAGCGCCCAGCCTGGTATGTTTTTTTTAAATTGGCCACTTGAGAGTTGTCCTTCAGAAAGTGGAGCAGCAATGTGATTATTAAAAACGATGGGCTTTCCTGCAGCTCTGGCTTACGGTCTTTGTTTTTCCAGTTAACAGCTGTTACTTCATGCTGTTAAAGTCATAGAGGATGGGGGGAGTAAGAGAATATGTCCAGTGGCTTAATTTTAGGGCTCAATTTGTTCTGTTTTTCCTGCAAAATAGTCACCAGTCTTGTCATACTTCAATGCGTATTTTAAAATAAGTCAAAGCCAATTTGGAAGCTGCTATCTTAGATTATTTGTAGTCAGACTTCAAATGGAGAGTGAAACTTTGACTTTGAAAACTATCTGGTGCTCTATGCTCAGTGACGGTCTTACACATTCCTCTAGGGGAAAGGTCAAGAGATAAATTGGGCTTTATTGTATTCTGTCATGTACCATACAGGAAATACTATGGTAGAACTGAAATATGTACAGTATTAATGTGGTGGCTGAGACTGGCACTTGGAAAATAGACTTGGATTCTTTGCTAAGTGTGAAACTAATTACTTTTATGTGACTTGTAGCAGTCACAATCTCCTCGATTGATTATAGCTCCTTTTCAAAGTGGAGAGACCTGAATATAGATTTTAACAGGATGTCCAACCTTGCCAGACAAGCAAGCATACATGTCTCTGGGATGCAGAAGCAGTTACAAGTTAATATATTTAAGCATACTATTAACCAATCCTAGGTGATAACAGAGATGTGAATATTTGATCATATTTGAATTCATTCCTTGAAAGCCCAAGCCTAACTGGTCTTAATTGATTAATTCTTAGTATTCTGAATTTTAGAATTTAAAACCCTGTGAATCTTCAGTTGGTGCTTACATTTTCTAACATTGGATGTTTGCTTTGGCCAGTTCCTGTTCTGTGTGTTTTCTTACAAAGGCTTAGAGATTCATGTTTGAGTCAAGACTTGCAGAATGGGACCCACATGGATATATAGCATGATCAAGATGCGGGGAATTAAGAACTTAACATGTTCCTTGTAGGTTTGGGGGCTATGTGGGAGTATAAAAAGAAATAGGCTATGTCTAAACTCCCGAGGGGAACTTGTTTTATTGCCTATTCTCAGCACTTAGTTTCAAAAATTCTGAATCTTTAGGTTGGTTGGAGCCCAGGAATATGCATTTTCTTAGCCGACTCCCATGGTTATTAATGATGTACAGTTGTCCATACAGCTGATGTCTGTAGGGGGAGGAGGAATACAGATGGGAAAAATGCAAGACTACATTTTAAGCCAAAAAAAGGCTTTTTGTTTGTTTTGTTTTCTAAGAGGGATCTCACTACGTTACCCAGTCTAGTCTCAAACCCTTGGCCTCATGCAGTCCTGCCTCAGTCTCCCAAGTAGCTGGGATTACAGGTGTGCGCCACACCTGGCCAAAATAAAAAGGCTACTTGTAAAACAAAAAGTTTGAATCTGCTTAGCAGATCATGTTTCCCAAAATAAGAGATTAAAAATAGAGGTTATTTATCAGAACAAATTTTTTTCACATTAATTACCCTGACTTAGTTTAGGAACAGATGCCATTTATAACTTTTACTGTGTTGAGGGAAAGGTTGCCCACACACCTATAAAATGTGATTTTGTCAATTTTTTTAGTGAATGCTACTTGTATTTTTCTTACCTTAGGCCATATATTGAAGTCAACCTGAGGTGAATGAGCAAACTTTAGAGTGAGTAACTCGCTGACCATTAAATGTAAGGAAAGCTCTCTGAAAATGGACGCAGCACTAACTAGAAAGAAAAACACATATAAACTCTGAGTCTTAAAGCTACAAATCTGACTGTGAAAACTGACACATGTTGAAAAGACGGCTGAGACAAGACAAACATAACAAGATTGTTACCATGAGTAGAGTGAGCAAAACTTCGTCTGTATTTACAGCCACTCCCCATTGTTTGCATTACTGCCTGAGCACCTCCTGTCAGATCAGTGGCAACGTTAGATTCTCATAGGAGCACAAATGCTATTGTGAACTGTGCATGCAAAGGATTTAGGTTGCACATTCCTTAACAGAATCTAATGCCTGATATGTCCCTGTCTCCCACCACCTCCAGATGGGACTATCTAGTTTGCAGGAAAACAAGCTCAGGGCTCCCATTTAAGTGGGATAATTATTAAGTTGTATAGTTATTTCATTATGTATTACAATGTAATAATAATAGAAATAAAGCACACAATAAATGTGCTTGAATCATCCTGAAACCAACCCCCATCCTGTCCATGGAAAAATATGTCTTCCACCAAACTGGTCTCTGGTGTCAAAAATGTTGGTGACTGCTTTAGAGGAAATGAGTCACATTTAAGTCCATATTGATTCAGTCCATATTGGTGAGGCCCTCCAATTACACCCAATATATGGCCAACTCTTACGCTTTGTAGTATTTTTTCTCATCTTCCTTTGGGATTCTTCAAGGGCTCTGTATTTAACTGAATTGGTTTTTTGTAGGAAAAGTCTACTGACAACAGAATTGGAAGTACAGAATTTACTTACGGTCTATAAACAGTATATATCAAATATAAATATGGTTGTTGGCTTTTTTTTTCTTTCTTTCTCAGGATTTGCAAGAGAGGAGTCCAGAAAGTCCTTTTTGGAGACTTTAGTCCCTTGTTAGAGGGTCTTTATATAAAGGGTCAAAGTTGAAGAGCCCAGATAATTGGAAATGAGAGATTTTCTTTTGAGAAAGCTTTCACGGGCCAGGCATTTCTCCCCATCATGTGCCCCCCTAGTGGAGGAGGGGAGAGAGGGTGCTCTACTGGGAGCACTTCACAAACTTCTGGAATGTAACCCATGTGGCACAGAGGGTGATGCCAGGCTCTGGGGAAGTGTCAAGTCAGGAGATACTAGCTAGCTGGCTGTGCTGATGGCAGAATAGGGAGAAGTGACTGCTGTCAGAAATGGCCTATTCCCTCAAGGTTTGTGGAGGCCAAGAATGTGGATGTGTTCCCAGCAGGTGAGGATCAAGACAGTCTATAGCTATCTTAAAAGGAACTGAGCTTCTAAAGCAGTCTATGTGGGATGGACTGACTGAAACCAGAGTCAACCAGGAGCTGGTGGAGACGGCTCTCAAAAGAGAATCAGCGACAGGTCTCCAAATAATCCATAAGGGACTAATTTGAAAGGTGGCTTAAATGTCTGTCAGGGTCTAAGGAGACCAATGCCCAGTTTTTCTCAGTTCCAGACAAGTGAGACCTTTTCTGCCCCCACCTCACTGCAACCCCAGTGGAGCCAGCGCAGCCAGGGGGTAAAGGAGGAGTGGGCTAGGTAAAGATGTAGAGATGAATCTGACCACAGATCCTTTATACCCTGGACCACAAAAGGGAGAACTTGAATGGGAAATGCAGTTAGGGGTTTGGACTACTGTTTTGTGACTAATACATAGGACTAGATACTTTCATCCCCACATGTAAGACAGTCAGCTCACAGAGAAAAATGACAAGGTGGGTCTGCAAATGGAATGGAAGCATTGGCACACCAAAACTTGATCTACAGAGCCATCTGAAACTATAAACAAATATGCTGATGAATATTAAGATTAGGAAGATGAAAGAATGGAAACCAAAGTTTAAAAAATCAGACAGTATGGCAGTTAATCTAATTTAAAACTAAAACCCAGCTCAGACTAAGAACACATGTTCTCACCCCCTGCTTGATTTGTTTTCTTTCAAGGGCCTTTAAAGCAAAACACTAACCATGAAGAGTTTTACTTTTCCCAGGAAATAAAATACTTTCTAACACAAAACAGCAGCTTTAGTTTTTAACTGAGAATAAAGTCTTATTTACTCTTATTTTTTAAAAATCCAGTATCTCGATTGTATCATTTACACATTCAAATAT